ATCCCAGTGCTTGGGAGGCTAAAAACAGGAGAATCACTATGAGTCCAATCTGTGTAGTGAAACCCTGTAGACCCTGTACCAAATACATTTAAAAAAGAGGCAAAAATATAACACTGCTTATGTCCTGTGCCCTCTCAGGACTCTGCAGCAAGGCTGTAAGAAGGCTGTAAGCAGCAAGAAGGCCAAATGCAGATGGAGCTCTAGCCAGACCTTGGACCTCCAGAACCCCACTGCAGCTACTTCTAGCCTCAGTGCCACTCCAGCTTCCTGAATGAAAGCTCAAGGGCAGTAGGGGTGATAAGAAAGAAATTTTCTATACAGTGGCCTATTCCAAGCTTCTTGCCTGCCAAGTTGGCCAGGCTGAGAAGAAACCTTACCATGACAAGCCTGGGACTATGATACTTCTAGAAGTCAGACACTGTCAGAAGTCTCCTGAACTATCTAGCAAATGCCTCCTCCAGTACCTAGCATGAGAATTTGTATAAAACTTTAACACTGATCTTCAAGGTTTAGAGTGTGACTGTAAGTACTTTGCAGTGTTAGATTAAGCTACATTGATCTGAGAGGCCTTTGTAGTACACCGGTACTGAACATGTACAGACTTTTGTTATTATTCCCTATACAACATAGTAGAACAACTATTTTGTATTAGGTATTATAAGTCATCTAGAGATTTAAAGTATACGGGAGAAAAAAAACAGTATATGGGAAGATGTATATACAGATGTAGATTATTTACTATGCCATTTTACATAAAAAGAGTTGAGTGGGCTAGCAAGATAGCTCAGTGGACTAAGCATCTGTTTAGGCAAGCACAGGGATAGGGTTCTGATCCCCGGCACCACATGCCACACAGGCCCCACCCTTGGGGTGCACTGAGCTGGTCACTGAGACTGGGTGTAGTGGCACATGCCTGTAATCCCAGTGCTGGGGAGGCTGAAAACAGGAGGATCACTACGAGTCTGAGCTGCATAGTGAGACTCTGTACCAAATACAATAAAAAAAAAAGTTGAGTGCCTTCAGATTTTGCTTTGCAAGGAATGTCCTAGAACCAGTGTTTCCCAGATACCAAAGCCCGCCTGTGCTGACACTGAGGAAACATCACAGTTGCCCTTTGTGGGTTTGCACATGTCGTGTAGCCCTGTCCGTTCATGTAAATGAACTTTGTTTCACTTCTTGTACTGTGTACCAGTACTTATTCTGAAGAGAAATAAAATTGAAGGAAAGGGAAAGCAACACTCAGAACAGTGGTGAAATATTGTATATGTAATTTGAAAGTATGGATCAGGAGGTATAGAAATTAGAATAGGAAAAAGCCACAAATGCTTTATTCATTTAGCCGTTGTTATGTTATTAGTAGGAGTAAAACTTTAGAGAAAATGGATTGCCTATAATTGGGTTAAACTATTAAAACCCTATTCTATAAGTTGTGTACTTTTAAAAATACACTAATGACAATATAACAACCATTGTTGAATTCCTATCATCTTGTTTCTTGAAAAAATTACAGCAATGAGTATAAAGATTATTTAGTAACATGGAAAATGCTTAAAATGTCATGTCTATGAGAAAAGGGCTGAAGATTACACACCATCTAAATAGAAAAAATGAGAAGGAAATATACCAAATGTTAACAGCTGTGTTTGGGTAATGTGGGTAGTGTTTTTTTCTTCCTTTTCTCTCCTGATATTTTTAATCACTTTCCAAAAACCAATTAAAAGCACCCAAATTAAAAAGTCAATATTTAAATGCAGAAGGAATGAAATTGGATTACTTTGCAATTAGCTGTCCTGCAGGCACACAGCTTCATGAGAGACTTTACATGGGACAAAAATCTCAACTACTACAGTTTGCAGAGAGCATTTATTTTGAGAGTGATTGGAGTGGTTGGAAAACCAGTGGAATAACAGCAGGAAGAAGTGGGCCCGCCCATCCCCAGCTGTCAGTAATTCAACATAGGGCTTCAAGAAACAATTTCTGTCCATTCATTGTGCCCTGGCTCTGGAGACCACCTCCCTCAGGCTATTGTGATGGTGATGGCCTGGTCCCCTAACAGCTCCCAGAGGACTGGGCACTTAATGCCAGAGCCCTGGCAGCTGTCTGGCTTGGGGTTGCTGGTCATCAGAGACTTGAAGCCTGTGCAGTGTTGACCCAGAGGTGAATAGGCCTTTCTCTTACCTACTCCCCAGAGGCCACAAGGCCTCATTAGGGTACAGTTTCTAATCCAAACAACCATTAATCTTTCTCAGGGTCAAAAGGGCAGAAAAGCAATTTTTGTGTGTGCCTTCTCTCTGTTTTCATACTGTACTTGTCTTTATTTTACAAGAGCAGACTTATATCACTGACCACTTGAAAATACCCCACAGCTGAGTCCACAGCCACACAAACAATGCCAAGCCCAACCACAGAGGCGACAGGAGCACAAAAAGAAGTCAGCTCTTGAGGCACTTGACAATAAATCATAAAAACATGGCCCACTTGGAACAAATTAGTGTTGTATGTCATGAAATAAAATATATGCCTATGTGTTGCAAGTGAAAATGCTGCTAAATGATAGTTTTATGAAAGTAGTCATATACAGACTTGCGAGTATCTTTCTTTTAATGTTGCTTGCCTTAGTAAGTAAATTAATCCATGTACATGCTGCTGAGACTCTAGAATTTTTTTTAAAAAGGAAACCAATAGAAAACTAACATTTGAAATTAGAAAAATGTACTTAATTATTGTCTCTACAACATGACAATGGTTTATAGAAATGGGTCTAATCTCCTATATTGTACTTTAAAAATAACTGGTAAGTCACAAAACATGTCTTTACCATATTTTCAAAATGTAAAGACCAACATGATGGTATCAAGATAAAAAATATTTCAGCTTCCTAAATCTGTTTTTTTCCTGCTTGCCCTTTAAATTCTTCCTCTACAAAGTCATCACTGATAGGAACACCAAACACTTCTGGTGAGTCACATTTAGACATCTGGCTAGTGTTAAGCAAGGCATCAAACAGAGACAGAGATTTCACTTTTATCTCTCATATGATTCTACATTAAGTTCCCTCAATTCAAAACCTCACATTAAGGGGTGGGTAACACATCAGTCTTGGCATTTTCAAGCTGGAGAAGGCTTTGGTTAAGGAAAGAAAGATTCAGATAAGATTGGACCAAACCCCAGGGCCCTTGGTCCCTAGTCTAACGTACTCCTAAGATGTCACATTACATTGCAGAATATAGGGCCGGCTCTTTGTATATGTGCATTCCACATCTGTGAGTCAACCAACTACAGATTGAAAATACTGGAGACAAAGATTTTTGGAAAGTTCCAAACAGTAAAGCTTGAGTTTGCTGTGCACTGTGCCCTCTGCCAGATCACGTGAATGAAGCGGTGTGGAGGCACACTGAGCTGTAGCCTCCCGCTGTTTCACAGAGCTGCATCTTCCTCTAACACTAGTGCTTTGTGCACTTCTTGAATCTTGCTTGCATGCTAATATTTATGCCTACAATGATTATGTCTGCACTAAATATGTATAGAATTTGTCCTCGTCATAGTCCAGAAAAATACAGCATAACAAACACAGTGTTTACATTGTGTTAGGTACTATAAGTAATCTAGAAATGATTTAAATTATATCAGAGGAAGGATGTCTATAAATATATATGAGATGAGCATACATATATGTATGTGTGTGTATATATATATATATATATATATATATGGATATATTTATGGATGAAGTTTTTGCTATGCTAATGTTTTTTGAAATATTCATTAAAAACTTTTACTGAAATTTCCTGAAGAATCTCAGATTGGCAGAGTTTATTTTTCTTTCTCATTTACACTTGGTTTCTGCTGTCACTTTTTATGATTCTCCTGAAAAGCTAGAAGGAAGTTTAGCTAGATGTAGTCTGCGAGGTGTAGCTGAAACTCTGTTGGTGTGGTCTTAGGCGTACCTTCGGAGCTCTGGTATAAACAGTTTCAACGCTTTGCTGCTATAATAGTAATAATTATTATTATTACTTGTGGTACTGGGAATTGAAACCAGGCCCTGCAAGCACACATTCCACAGCTGAACTATACTCCTAGCCTAGGTTTTTCTTTTTCTTTTTTTCCCCTCCATAGGAATTAATTTACCTTAACAATACCACTTCTCAGTAAAACAATGTCACTTTCTGCAAGAACATGTACAAAATACCTCATAGTTATCTTTTAGGTGGAGCAAAATGAACAATTACTTTGTCATTGTACTGTATTAGCAGTTTTTGGTTTTGAACATATTTTACATTTGTAATTTGAGAAGACCTCCAACAAACATTAGTTTGAAATATCAACAAAATAATAACAACAGGGCCAGGGAGATAGTTCAGTAGAATAAGTGCTTGCCTGGCAAATGCAGGGTCCCGAGTTCAATCCCCTGTACTGAAAAAAAAAAAAAAAAAGAAAGAAAGAAAACAATAACAGCAACAAAAAAGAGAGGGCCTGAAGCAGTCAAATGATATAGTATCACTAGTCCTAGTCTTTTTTTTAACCCAGATGTAATTATATGTATATAGCCTATTTATAAGATTAAATTTCAGTTAAATATATGAGAAAATCTCCAGGAGCACTGAGCTCCTGCTGAAAGCTTGAGCCGGCAAATCTCAATGTGGTAATCTTTGTCTTATTATTATTCTTTTTATTAAAATTTTTTTTCAGTGTGGTAATCTTTCTGAAAAAAGCAGCAATGAGATTTCTGTAGTCTGAGAATAGCAGAGAGGAAGATTATCATGATACTTGGATCCTGTTGGCTTTTTAAAAATTTTTCATATAATTTTATTTTCTCCCTTCAAACATAATAATATGATATCCAAACATTGTCTTAATTGGTGGGTCTGTAAACACAGGCTTACCCATTCCACTCACAGGCAAGACAAATGCTGCTTCTTGAAATGGCCCTACCATGGAGCCCTGGTCATCCAACCCAAGTCACTCCTTGCCTGGCTCTATCTTCACTATACTGTGTGGCCACTTCACTGAATCTCATCCTGGACTTTAACTTTTTCATGGCTTCCATAATTTTGCTGTGTTTTTCACATGGAATGCGTCAGACCTTTACTGCATTGCCACCACCTTTGGGGCCCTGAGCCTTCTTGTCAGCACTGTCACTCCCAGGGGCTGCTCCCCTTTTCCCCCACTTTTCCAGAACCACTTTTTCCTTTGGGCAGCATCTTTGGAATTTGCCATTGTACTTGCTACTACATCTGCATCTGCATAGAGCAATTCTGTTTGCTTTTGAATCTACTTACTCTGAGCACTAGATAAATGTTTCCAAAGAGAGCTTTATTATCATTTAGGATGCTAGTGTTTTTTTCAAGAGAATAATTTGTTTACTACAGAATTGGTTTCAATATTTTACCTCTTCAGATTTGATTTTGCCTTCTGAATATTAGTTGCTAGTATTTTTATAAAATTAGATGAATCTGACATGAAACATTAAAATGATATTTTCCTTCTCCTTTTATTATTTTATCTTTTTGTGGTACTGAGACTGAAGTCAGAGCCTTGCATCCAATAGGCAAGTGCTCCACACCGAGCTATATGCCCACCCCTCTGCCTTTTAAAAAATGAACAATAGCTTGTTTTAACCAATCCAAATGATACACATCTACAAAATATAAAGTAAAGGTACAAAATATAAAGTGAACATTTTCTCTTAATTCTAAAAACTCCAAATTCTGTCTCTTTAGTAATAACTTTTACTGTACTGATGAGCACTTTTTTCTATATGTAGACATATATTTGTAAATAGTAGATGAAATAAAAATCAGACCATATTAACATACAATTTTTCTGCAACACTTTTGGCCAATGTCTTTTTATAATTGATGAATCTCCAACAGAGTTAATATCATCTTTATTATTGACACCACAGTAATCCACCGTTTAATATATTCTCATTTATTTATCCAAATATTATTACTGAATATTTAGGTTGTTTCAATTTTTATTATTTGGAAAAGTACTGCCAGAAACTCTTTGTCATGTTTCTTTACATACTTAGGCTAGTACTTCTGTAAATTAAATTTCTAGGCATGCAGTTATTGGGTGTAGGTGTAGAATATGAACATTTACATATCTGATGGATACTAGATTTTTGCCCATTTGATATACATTGAGCAGAAGCAGAGTATTCTGTGGGGTTTGGCAGAAGACCACTGATCCTTGACATCTGGCTCTGGGTCTGACGTAGTAAGTTTTTGTCTACACTGTTTTATGAAAATAAAACTTACAACACCAGGGAAACTCCTATAGGATAAATTTATATTTTGTCCAAACTAGTAACAGGAAAAGTTGAGTGTGGAGGTTTGAAAAGACAGAGCTCTAGCCAGATCAACTTTTTTTTTCTCTCAGAATTACAAAGGCCAATCGTAATTATTTCAGTTAAAATGGCAATTAATACAGTTTCATTGAAGCTTCAAACAATGCAGACAGATCCTCTTCCGACTGGGGGCGGGGTGCAAGCTTGGTGACCCGCTCCTGAAACAGTAAATAAATGTCATTACCCGGAGCTTGCAAATAGCTGTTTTTAAAAGGTAAAGGGCATATAAATTAACTTGGTCATAAGAATCAAACTTGATAATGGTCATATCTTTAAAGATCATATTTCTTGTGTACTTCGTGTTACCCAATTCCTAACTCGGAGGTTTCCCATGATAGTATCTCTTTCCTGTGAAGTTTTCAAAAGTCATTGCCCTCAGACCTCTGCATGGACAAGAGCCTCTGACCGACAGACATACAGACCCAAATCAACTGCTGGGAAGATACCTTGAATAATCTCTTGTCAGTTCTCCAAGTGCAGAGAGCCCTGTTGCAGGCACAGTGAGTATAAGGAAAATACAGTTGGTTGTCTTGACACCCAAGAGCATTTTTCAATCTAAGGTATATTCAAAAGGACTACTGTAGACATGAGCTTTCAGGCTACATGAAACAACTGAGCTGTCTCTCCCATTAACCAAGGCTTTATTTCTACTTAGCAGAAACTAAACAAGTTCAGTGATCGGCTTAATTTCTTCAACAGTTACTGAGTCAAGTCAGTGAAGAGGGCCTGCACATCCTATGGCTGTTTACCCAACGTCTCTCCTATCTTTCTGGGGTAGGGAACTAACAGATGTGATGAGTGCCCTGTAGCCCAATTAAGAGGTAATCCACTGAGGGGGCTGCATTTGCCTGGGTCACTGGGTTTGCCTGCTGGTGGTAAGCATGTTTACAGCATTCCCGATAAACAGGGAGGCTCAGGAGGACAGAGGCTTCGAGGGCCCTGTGGCCCTGCACCTTTTAATGCTTCACATACAGTAAATATGTGCTTGACACTTGGTTGCTGAGAGAATCAAGAGATATTGGTGTCTCAAGGTCACACACACAAGTGGATCTCTGACTCTGCCCACTCCTCTCATTTTCATTCTTTGGTTTTAGAGAATATGAACTCATCCCAGGAACCTTTTAGGTTGGGAGTTTCATTCCCCTATATCAATATGAAAATTATTTCTACAATTCAACAACAACAATAAAAAACTCCAAACAACTCAGAACAAAGGACTTGAATAGATATTTCTCCAAAGAAAATAGATAAATAGCCAAGGAGTGTATGACAAGATGCTCAATATTATGTTGAGCTGTAGGGGACTCAGTCAACAATTTCTGACATTACCAGTCAAGCGGAAGACCCAATACTATTATGGGCTACTGGACTCTTTTAGAATATTTTGCTGGGTTTACACACCTATGACATTCAAATAACGGAACTTAACAAAAAAAGGGGATACAGATGAATGTCCATTTTGTATCTGTGTATTCAAAGTGGTTAGGGTAGATATATAGTTACATTCTCTTAATGAATAGAGGGATTTGTTATAATGGTGTTTGTAAATAGGATATCATGTCCACATCTTGTACAGCAATTAACCACTAGGAAGAATGTATGCAATGTGTTAATTATTGAAGCTGTCCTACCAATTTGATTTGAAACTGTCTCATTGCTATTTGTTTATCAATAAAATTATGGAAAAAACATTTAAAAAAGATGCTCAATATTATTACTTACTGGGAAAATGGAAATCAAAGCCTCAACTAGATGTCACTTTACATCCCATTAGGATGGTATTATTAAGAAATGTAAATTGGAGCCTTGTATATTAATGGAAGTGTAAAAGGATATAGTCACGGTAGAAAAAATTTTGCCATCTCCTCAAAATATTAAACATAGAATTACCATATAATCTAACATTTCTACCCTTAAGAATATACTCAAAAATATATATATATTTTAAATTTTTATTTATTTATGTGTGTGTGTGTGTGTGGCCAGCTCAGCCCACCAGGGGGCGGGGCTGGCTGGCATGTGGTGCTGCGGGATTGAACCGTGGTCCCTGTGCTTTGCTAAGCTTGTTTTAAGTAGGTGCTTTTGACCACTGAGCCATCTCACCAGCCCTCAAAAAATATTTTTGAGGGAAACAGGGAATCAAAAAAATGCTTGTATGCCAATATTCACAGCACAATTATTCTTAATAGAAGACAGAAACAATCCTAGTGGCCACTGGGACATAAATGGATGAACAGAGTGTAGTGTACCCACACAATGAAATATTGCTCAGCCATAAACAAGATTGTGATTCTGACACATACTTCAACATGAATGAATGCTGAAGACATTCTTGTAAATAAAATAGTCACAAAAGGGCAGTTACTGTGATTCCACTTACAGGAGGTACCTAGGACAGGCAAATTCAGAGACAGAGAGTAGAATGGAGGTTACCAGGGGCGACAAGAGAAGGGCAGATTGGGGAGTTATCATCTAATGTGGAGCTGTTGGGGATGATTTTATAAAGATCTGGAAATGGGTACTGTTCATGGCTGTAGGACATTATAAATATACCTAGTAGCATTGGATTGTATACATAAAAATAGTTAAAATGGCAAATTTTATGTTGCATATATTTTACTACAATTAAAAAGTTAACTACACTAGGTATGGTGGCACATCTATGTAGTACCAGTTACTCAGGAGGCTGAGGCAAGAAGATGGCGTGAGCCCAGGAGGTCAAGACTAGGGTGGGCAACGTAGCAAGACTCTAGGTCTAAGTAAGTAAACAAGCAAGTAAAATAATAGGATAGATGTACATTTAAGAGATGGCAGGAGACTATACTAATGAATATGATGAGGCAAAGGTAAACCTTATATCCCAGTAGATGGTTTACAAAATTCCTACAGACTTTTGAAAATTCATAGCAAAGCAGAGAGATCCGTTCATGGTTACACATACAGAGACACCCACACATTTGAGGAAGGGATAAGAGCTGGCTGAATTTCAGGGTTTGCTATGGACAGAGGTGATGATCATGATCTTTACATTATTCTGTTCTAATGAGGAACTCTTATCTGATCGGCTCACAGGCCCTTGACCTGATCCTGTTTATCACTGGTGAGCAGTTCAGGACTCCTAGAAGTACCTGAAGCCAAAACTACATTGAGTTTATCTTTTACTTTGCTAGCCCCTAATGACAGATTAAAGAAGTTAAATTTGTGATGTTTCGCTAGACATATCAGCTGTGTCACAGAAAAGCTAAACACTCAGAATAAAGATGTGTTAAGTAATGTACTATTATTTATAGACATGTAAAACTAAAGAAAACTGATTAACATGGGCATTGAAATAAATTCAGGCTTCTCCTTTTAGCACATTCATAAAATAACAATGTTTCAGCTGGCCTGTCTACCAGGGAGTGGAAGTGCTCATTTGGGTAGACAGCTCTTCTTAGTAATGAAATGTTTTGATTTGGAATGTAAATGTTTCTTTCCAAAGGTTTCAGAAATCCAGTTGGGAAGATTAATTTATTCTTGCCCGCTCTCCTTGCAGCCTGGCTATGGCAGTTGGAAGCCTTTGCACACAGGAGTGCTATTTGCTACCACTAGTATGGGCGGTGGTGTTTGGTCAAGAATACTGGCCTGGTTGTTCCATCCAGAGAAAACTAATCCTGGTTGCTGCACATAAAAGAACCTTTCTCAAACATTAACTGTAAGAAATAACCTTTCTAGCAATGTTCTTTGCAGGAACCAATATATCCTTCTTACTACTTTAAGTCCTGGAATATTAATAAATGAAGATTAGTCACCCATATGTGTAAAATCTGAAATTGCCATGGCATTCCTGTAAAATGTTTGCTGCAGCCAAAACACAAAACAAAAACCTCTACAAGTAATTCTCCATCTACGGAAGAGAGAAGCTTATTTCTAAGCTTCCCCCCAAGGATTTAGGAGTCTTTTAATGTATACATATTTCAATCATATCAACTCTAAAAATGGAATGAGTGCTGGTTAATAAAATTAACTATAAAAAATAAAATTAAATTAACTATGTTTTTATTAATCATGAAAACATGGCCAAAGGGAAAAAGTGTATGCCTTGGGACACTTTATGAATATGGCTTGATAAAAATGTGGGTTTCTACTTTATTGATTTTTTAAAATGAATTTAGGACAGGTTATACAGGGTGTACAGGGTCTCACTACATAGATTGGACTCGTAGTGATTCTCCTGTTTTCAGCCTCCCAAGGGCTAAGTGCCATTCCTACAGTCCTGGGGATTGAACCCCTAGTCCCTGAGTCTGCCTAAGCAGGTGCTTTAATACGCCGAGCTATCTGGCCCACCCTTGGGTTCCTACTTTAAGACATGATTTAATATTCAACAGGTTGCATTTATTTCTCATCTTTTGTGAAACTAGGAAATTCATTTTGTCTAGCTAAGGTTTTGCCTCTGTGATTTTCCACTATGACATGTATGTGGAGGCATTCAGAATACTTAATTAACTTTTGACTTTAGTGGATGGTCTCTAACATTAGTTTGAATTTCTTCTATCTGGAATAGTGTTTGAAAGTGAAGGTCTGAGCACAGCAGAATTAGAATGGTAAACATTTGCCAGTGGGTGCTGCTAGCTGGGTCACGCATGACATGCCACCAGCAATTATCTGGCCAAGAATATCATACAGTTTCACCTGAAAACTGTGGGTGCCATTCTCAGAAGTTGATGAACATGTACTCTTGAACATTTTTCCTTGGATTTATGAACAGACTTTTCAGAGGGCTCCTTGCAGAATGGATAGTTATCACTGAAACTATGCTATCAAGCCAGAAGCCAAATTAAAACTGTGGTGACCATAGGTCTGGGGAGTTCTTGGACAGGCTTTATGACTTTTCCATCTTTGGGTATATTTCAGTTGTCTAAGGAAAGATATTGAAAATTTTTTCACCATCCAGTCATTAGGCTTATGTGGACAGAGGATTTAGGAGGTGAGGGCTGCAAATATATGCTGATTTAACATACTTATTAGCCTGTATTAAGTGCAAGAGAGGATGGATGAACAAAGCAAAGTCTTGTCCATATGGAACTCATACTCTAGCAGGTCTGGATAAAATAAATGATAGGTTTTTTTTTCTATTTAGTCTCTTGGACTTACAGGTTAGAATAAATGTTTGTGGTGGATTCAGGGGCCATCTATGCTATACTTTGAGACTTTTATGTTTCTTATTCCTTTATATTTTTAGATGCAATTGGATTCACTGAGCCTAAATATAAATCAAGAAAACGGGTGGCTCATGGGTCCTGTTTTACTTGTACATTGGGAAAACAGGAAAAATGCAACAGAAACATCCAAATTGCTAATTTTTCTTGAAAGATGGTTGTAGTACCTAAAGGAAGAACCGAATTTCTCCTTGTGATTGTACTGCTCACACAATTAGATGGGCCATATGCTTCCTACTTTGCTGAACTCCCTGCCATTCCCTGTTGCCTTATATATTTTCAATTTAAGAAACTGTATTAGTACATATTAGCATTATATAATGATTACATTCATCATGGGGAGTTGGTCCTGCTACATAACACATCTTGACCACTTAACAGTTTATCCCAAGCGTCACTCAGGCAGTACATTTTTTATGTACTGAGTATTCCAAGCATTACTCTGGCAGGTTTGTGGGAGTGTGAGCTGTGACCCAGTCTACACAAATCTTATCTTATGTGATGGGTGAGGCTGTCAACATTCTCAACCCTGATGAAATGAGGAAGAAGCAACTAGTTAGAGGCCCTTGCTTCTCTGGAGTGGGGCGAGAAAAAATTACTGCTGTCTGTGGTCACAGAATGCTGTGTGAGTAGATCTCACAGTCGCCAGCTATATCAAGGAGATCCCTGGATGCCTTCATTTTGGGAAGAGGGGCTCCATAAGGCTGAGGTGGTCTTCATTTTTCCCATATTCACCAGCAAGACTAAAGGAGCATCCTGGTTGTGGTGACTATGGTGTGGTCCACTAACCAGTGCTTGTGGTGCTGAGCTCGCTACTTAATGGTGAACTGCAATGAATTGGATGCTGGCCCTTTAGGGTCTGATACACTAGCTCAAGAGATCCAGAGAGCCTTTCTTCATGGGAGAGGGCACTTCACATCTATCATGATTCTACCAAATTAACGAAGCATAGCAGCACATTGAACTTACATTCTTTAGTGACTTTAAATAAATGAAATAAGCCTGAGAGGGACCCACATATAAAACATCACATGTCCCAAATTCCTTGAAAAGCAATATTAAAACGTATAACTCAAAGACTGCCTGTTCTTCACAAAATAGTAGGAACTTACAGGTCTTTGTAGCAGAAAATAATATTAGTGGTCCTTTAGTAATAGCTTTGCAGGGCTTTATAGGGGACCTTTAAAAGAGCAGAAGTGGGGAAAAGGGAAGTTTGATGTAGTTCAAGATCAACTTGGTTCTTTAGCTTTCAATTTTCATAAAGAATCCTTTTAGTTCTGCAACAAAAGCTCCACCTCAACTACAGTTTTATGGCATAAAAGCAAAGGAGCCTTGACCCTTCTCTTCCAGGAAGATAGTTGCTGTGTGATATGGAGGCAACTAGAGGACCCCTGGGGTTTCATTTCCCGTAACATACCCCAAGTGGAAATTCTGTGCTTCTTAGCAGGAGTGAGGACTGCTCTTACCTGGGGTAGTGTTCCTTTCACCAGTGCTGGGATATCTGCTTTGGAGTAGCCAATGGCAGCCAGGCCATTGTCAACATTTAGATCAAATAGGAATTTCCGGAGTGTGTCTGCCAATACAGGCCCAGCATCTTGGATCTTGGCAGTGCGGGTATCAGCTCCTAGAAGATAGTGAAAAAAAAAGAGAAAAAAAAAATATATATAGATAGAGAGAGAGAGAGAGAGAGAGAGAGAGAGATGGAGGGGGGAGGGAGAGGGAAGATGATGCAGACTCTGGGGTGTTGTTCAAGATCAGCACAGTACATATTGTGTACTCACTGCCCAACCCCAAGTATGAGCACATCACTGTGCCGCCCCTTGACAATGGCTTAAAGGTTCATGGTCAACCTAATAGAAGACACTTTAGCAAGGTCAGATGGAGGAACAGAGATCTTCCACAAGACAAGTTCGCTGGACCAGTTAACTTTCCCCACATTTCCGAGTGACTGCCACTTCCCATTTGGTCACCCCTTGTATGGTGGTTAAGAGGAAGAAAAAGGAGAAGGGGAAGGAGAACGGGAAGAGGAAGGAGAAGGGGAAGAGGAAGAGGAGAAAGAGAAAGGGAACCAAGGAGGAGGGGGAGGAGGAGGAGGAAGAAGAGGAAGAGGAGGAAGAGGAGGAGAAGGGCTAAGAAAGGAGGTGTAGATAAGAGCAGGGAAAAATGCTGGTGTTGGGATGAGGAAGCAGGGTCTGTAAGAGAAACCCAGCTGTGTCATTTTTCAAATCTTGAAATTTGCTGACATCTAGAGGTGCATGTGTTGAATGAACATCTTTTCTCACTAACATCTTAGAAAAAGATAAACCCTGTGTAAACACCTTGTGAGATAAGGTTAAAGAGCTCCCACTTTAATCATTAAAAAAAAGTATGACCAAGAAATGGGCTATGTGTGGCCAGAGACGGAAATATTTCCTCACAATATCTATAAAATTTTATTTTGAACTCTATTGTCAACAGGCAGGGAAGGTTCTTTTCAATAAATATTACAGTGTCCAGAGCATAAAGACTTTTGGCAAATGGTATTGCATGTGTACATAATAATGACAAAGGTGAAGAGATATGAAGTTACCAGGGTTTGGAGATTTTTAAGGCAGAAGTTTGATGTAATTAATACATATAATCATGGAGATACCAATCTGGAAGAGACACTGGGTTCTGTCCACAGGCAGAAAATCCCCAGAAGAAATTATGTCATTTCCCAACTCCTAGCACTCACCCCTCTCCCCACTCACATGAGTGGGCACCTTCATGCCAAGAAACTAAGCACTCTGCAAGTGGCACGAGGTCTACCCAAAAGGCCACTGAAGGAGACTGGGACACACAGGTCCCCTGCACAGTGGGGCACTTGATTGAATTGTTTTTAAACTTTCTTTTCTGTGACAATGAGAACTGCTTCAGTAATCCAGGAAAAACAGCATAAACAAAATCAGATATAGGGCCAGTTGGGAAACAGCTGCATGAAAGGTAAACCTTGCCTGACAAATCTGTGTTGCTCTGCGGCAGCAAAAACATGCATTAGGTAGAAAGGCGATGTGACACAAGACACAGGGAATATGATTTTTTCATGTTCCTGAGATGACTGCCATAAAACATACCATCAGGACCTCTAGGTTTTCTTTTTTTGTTTTGAGAATAAAAAAAAGTAGTAAAACAAACAAACAAACCCCATTAGAAACTATTCAGAATTTCCTGCAACTTGTACAATGAATAACCACTAAGACAACAATATGCAATGTATTAATTATTGAAACTGTGTTAATAATCAGTTTTGAAACTGTTTCATTGCTATTTGTTTCTCAATAAAATATTTTAAAAAAAGAAACTATTCAGAATTTCACTAACCAAAATAACAGTAATTCCACAATAGTTGTTATATTGCATATTGTTGTCTTCAGATTAGCTGTTCAGATTACCAGATATAGGCATGCAAAATCAGTTGAAAAATTATTATTATTATTTTTTGTGGTACTGGGGATTGAACTCAGGACCTTGCACTTGCCAGACAAGCGCTTATTCTACTGAGCTATCTTCCCAGCCCCTGAAAAATTAAAAATAGGAAAAAATTTAAGCATTAATTGCTGCTTTCAATAGACCAGCAGAAATCAGCAGCACAGGGCTGGCCAGATAGCTCAGTGGATTAAAGTGTCTGCTTAAGCACGTGCAGGGACCAGTGTTCAATTGTAGGTGTGCGGAGACAGCCCCGCCCCCAGGGAACACTGAGACAGCAAATGAGATTGGGCATGGTGGTGCATGCCTGTAATGCCAGGGCTTGGGAGGCTGAAAACAGCAGGAGTACTACAAGTCCAATCTGTGTAGTGAGACCCTGTACTACATACATTAAAATAATAA